ACATGATTTGTTGTAAGCTTAGGTTGAAGCTTTTCTATCTAGTGGAATACCCCTTTCTTGTGGCAAGGTTTAGTAAAAGATGATTTGTTGTAAGCTTAGGTCGAAACTTTTCTAGTTAGAGGAATACCTCTTCTATATGGCAAGGTTTAGTTAACATGATTTGTTGTAAGCTCAGGTCGAAGCTTTTCTATCTAGTGGAATACCCCTTTCTTGTGGCAAGGTTTAGTTAAACATGATTTGTTGTAAGCTCAGGTCGAAGCTTTTCTATCTAGTGGAATACCCCTTTCTTGTGGCAAGGTTTAGTAAAAGATGATTTGTCGTAGGATTAGGTCGAAATTTTTCTACTAGTGGAATACCACTTTCTTACGTCGAGGTTTAGATACAAATCAGTTGTCGTGAACAAGGCTATCTTATGCCAAGGTTAAAGGTGATTTGTCGTGAGCTTAGGACAAAGTTCACGTGTGAAAGCCAGAGTTAACAACAAATAAATGTGATAGGTTTTAAAGTTTCACGCTGATAGCTTCTTGAATAACATAATTTCAAACCCCATCGTTGTAAAATGTCCAAAGTCTCACCAAACTTCCCCTTTTTTCATGCCCCCCTTAATTATATATATATATACTTTAATAAAGAGAAAATGTCCAGACGAAAACTTTTCAAAATGTTTTCATGATAGTACTTCATAATATTTGCCTTCTAGAATACTTTTAGGTTTATAAAGCTGCTTTCATAGTAATAGTAGGTAACTGTAATCTTTAGTTGTAGTTTCCTGTTGCTCCACTAAACAAGAATATTTGAAATTCATTTTCTTGGTAAAACTGGTCCACTAAATGGGTCTCTTTAAAACTTGTTTTCTTTCTAGCACTTCTATAATAATTGAGATATTTTGAAAGCCACTTTCTTGGTAAAGAAGTAGCCTAAGAGTTAGCGGTGGGTGGTGATGACTAGCTGCATTCCCTTTATTCTTTAACTGCTAAACTAGGGACGGATAGCGCAGATAGCCCTCGTCTAGCTTTGCGCAAAATTAAAACAAACAAGACCTTTCTTGTTAGCACTTTTCCACAAATGGATCTTTTTGAAAGGAGGCCTGGCTTGGCTTAGTGGTTAGGCCTGGCATGGCTTGGTGGTTAGAGCGCTTAACTCGCCACTGAGGGTCGCGGGACTGAATCCCTGTCGCAACGAACATTCTCGCTCTTTCAGCCATTGGAGCGTAATAGTGTTTCAATCAGTCCCACTATTCGCTGGTAAAAGAGTTGCCCAAGAGTTTCGTCATGAATATTCTGCCTAAATAATCTATCAAAGAGTAGCCCAAGAGTTGGCGGTGGGTGGTGTTGACTAGTTGCCTTCCCTTTAGTCTATTACTGCTAACTTGGGGACGGCTAGCATAGTCCTCGTGTAGCTTTGCGCAAAATTCAAAACAAATCAGTCTTTTTCAAAGTTATTTTTGGTCGCTTCTACACTTATTAATACTTCACTGATAAAACATCTTCACTAAGTGGGACTTTTATGAAAGTTGTTTACTTTGTAATACCTCTACACTAATTAATATATTTTCAAAGTCCTTTTCATGGTAGTTCTTTTCCATTAATTGCGATCTTTTGAAAGTTGTTTTCTGTTGTTTTTTTTGTATCACTTCCCCATTTAATGGGATTTTCTGAAAACTGTTTTCTTCGTAGCATTTCTCAACTAATTGAAAATTTCTGAAAGCTCTTTGTTGGTAGGACCTCTCCATAAAATTGGTTTCTTTTGAAAGTCGTTTTCGTGATAAAGTTGTCCACCAAATGGGAACTTTCTGAAAGTATTCTTCTTAGTAGCATTTCTCCACTAATGGGAATATTTTGAAAGTCGTTTTCTTGGTGATCCTTCTCTATTATATTGGACTTTTTGAAAGCTGTTTTCTTGGTATCACTTCTCCACTAATTGGGATCTTTTCATCATCTTGGTAGCACTTATCTACTAAATGAGACTTTATGAAAGCTGTTTTCTTGGTAGCACTTATCCACTATATGAGACTTTTTGAAAGTTGTTTT